ATTAAGCACGGTATACATTTTAATCAAATTTTGTATAAATTGGAAATTTTTCAATTATACAGAAATATTTGTATTATATCCTTTCAAGAAAATATAAATTGGTTTGCAAACYAATAAATTWTTGATAACATTTTGGATCAATATTTTTTTTTAAATCCTATATTAGATAGAATTATTAATATTAAAAACTAAAAATATTGAATAATTTTTTTAACATTTTTTATATTTCACTAAACATATTTTAAGATTACCTCCAATCGAGTATTTTTGAGATTTCTGATGATCCTTACATTTCTTAGAAATTTAAGTAATTAAAAAAAACACTTTATAATTTATTTTATTAGGTAAAAATTGTCATTATTTATAATAAAAAAATCATTACTTTATAATATTATGAATTTCAAATTGTACAACAAAATTATTTGAGCATTTATCAAGTTTGTGATGATGAGAATAGGGGACAGAAATATTTATAGGTATAATATAATACAATTTAGAAAAACCCTTTTCTCTTATTTATGTTTAAAAAGTTGGTATTATTTACATTCCACACATTTAATTGCTGTTATCATAATTTATTGGATACTCTTATTAATGACAACATTTCAAATTTTCAGATCACCTCTTCTACGGGAACGTGTGCTTTGGCACARCAGAAGAAACCGTGCTCACCGATCACCGAGCCACTGGCGACTTCGACGCCTATAAAGGATTCGTCCAAGCTACACCAACACTCATCGACAAACCACTGTCTCAATGATTCTGGTTACTTCGAACCACAACGTCTCGACCACCTTTTTGGTATAACCGCCGATCATACAGGACATGACCAAAATTACCAACCAGACARATGGCTTCAGAAACCGAACGACACTCAGCACCAGAATCACCACCAGCTACCCACTTTGACCAACAAGACGTGGCCCGAAACGGCGTACTGCAATGAATACCAACCTACTTGGCCGCTGCAGAACGCGTGGCACAATCAYGGACCATTGACGTATCCGTCATCTGCTATAGACCAGAGGTGCCATGAACCGATGATGTTCTACTCCTGAAATTGGTAAGAAAAAACACCATCACTTCGGCACTAATACGGGGAGAATTGAATGCCACCCGCGGCTATCGGTTTCTGATCGTCACCATTACTCATCTACCCCGCTCTCRCTCGGTACTTTAATTATTTGTCTGCCCAAGTGACAAGACAATGTCCGACATGTTTATATATACTATTATTTTGTACTTTTGTTTATATTTATATATATATATACTATTTTATTTTTGTTCGTAAGCACTCGTTACCGCGGCGAACGATAAACAATATTATATTTTTGTACCTATTTATTATTATTATGTAATGAATAAAACGAAATATAYGCATTTTATTATTATTATAACAGTTGTATATGAATTGGATTTCTCCCGATAAGTGATGTCCGGTACAATTCTACTGAATAATTGCGATACACCACCCCGCAGAGTATCAACACCCACACGACCACTCGGTCTGGTATATTGTCGCGTGGCTAGGGTGAGCACAACGGTGGTAGTTATAGAGGTGCCTGTTCTGTTCCGGTGTAACGCCTCCACGAAAACTTGTAATCCACCRACGTAAGCCGATTATCTGGCACAACACAGACCAACCCGCTACCCGTGCTCGGTACACCCCCCGTCGACAATTAAGTTCATACAGCAGTCCCGTAAATATTTTGCRAAACCCAATAGGTTGGTACAACCATTTCTATTAACAAACTATAAACATAAATACGACCAACCAGTTGAAAATATTTTTTTGAAATTTTGAAATGAATACATTTTTTTTGTAAATTGGTGCAAAAGTAAAGAAAGGTATGAACGTTTTTTTTTTTAACTCTCCAAAATGTTGGTTCAAAAATCATATATAATTAAGGTAAAGTCATCACCGTGGTATTGATCAATCAAGTGTCATCGCTCTTATCAAATATCATCACCGGACGCCGTGCATGGAAAACTACGTATCATCGGGTGGGCTACCGCACGTCTAGTAGGTAAAATATTTACGTGGGCCAGTTGCGAAAGACATGGAAAGTGACACAAGGAACACGGCGGTAATATAAACCACTAATAAACCATTTTTTTTTTTTTTTAATTTTAAATGAGCCTCAACAACAAAGATTATTGGCCTTTAACATTAATATTTTTTTACACAAGAATGAATCATTAACAATGATTAATATACTATTATACTCGTACGTAGTTATAAGACATATTGGACGGGAAGTATAGGTATAGGTAATGTCGAAATTTGTGCAACGTTTCAGGATTGTGGGTGAGTACTTAATTTTTTGTCAATACGACATGATGTGTACACTAAACAGTGTGCAAATACAATGTTATCATCTTCTCCACTCTAATCATCCCAACAAACACGACGTCGTCCTTGTACGTATTTATATTTGTATATATCTATATATATTATTATGACTCTCGTGTATAAGTGTAAAACACCGCCGGCTCGGATTCCAAATTCAACTATTGATCTATATCCAAATTCTAAATTTCGGACGTAATTTCAATGATTTTTTACAATTTAAATAAATCCATGTCTCGTTAGTCAGCCGTTTATTTAAATTTAAGAGGATTTTAAATGTCTTTCGTTTTCCTCGCATAACACTATTAATATTGTATTTTTAAAGCAATACATTGGATGTAATAAAACCTACGAGTTCATTAAGACAATTTACGAAAATATATAGGTACAACCAGCAATATATAAGTTCTAACAGCAATATTTAAAAACATCTAAACTTGTAATTCTAAATCTAAGACCAAAGACAACAATAGTACACATCTATATTAAACAATGCAATATTTCATATCCGCATTTTGTGGAGAGGAAATTATGTTTTTCAAAATAACTTTTGTATATTAAATTATAAACGTGGAACGATGTTTATTACAAAAACTTACGAAAATGTAATTAAATTAGTTCAATAATAAATAATATCAAATACTACAGATAAGTTGACACTTTTAAATAGGTTCCTACGACATATATACACTATAGAAACTTTAAATTTTGCTAAATTTAATTATATTTATAAGTGAATTAATATTAAAGACTGCAAATAAGTAATTCTTTTAAATAATCATACGTGTAAATGAACAATAATAAATAAAGTAAAAGTGAATAGTTAATTTAATTTTTCGAAGACTTCGGCTAAGGCTATCATGCATTCATGCAATATKTAGATATTTAAGTATAAGTTTATTTTCACGCCAAATAACTGAATTTATTTGACTGTAGAATTGAGACAAAAAACTTATGTAGGTACTAGATAGGTACTAGATAGGTATCTATATTTATATGAAAGCCATAACTTTTGAAATGCACTATAGTAATATTTATCTATATGTGGCTTGGTAAAAATAAACTGTGTTGACTAATTTTGTTGATGAGATAATTAAGATTTTCAATAAAATAAAGCCGAATAACTAAAAATATATGAATTGCATAGTTATGATTATTTGTRCATAAAAAATAAATAAAAATCTAATTATCTAAATACTACCTCTGTGATATTTGTAGTTTTAGCCATGTATAGAAAATATGAAATCATTTGTGCATTTGTCGTTTAATAAAATAAATACKATAGTTAATTAAATATTACAAAGCTCAGACAAATGAGAAGTAACATATTTTTCTATTTTTTTTTTTTAACACCATAAATAAATATTGCAATTTTTATAATTGTACAAATTAATTACTTAATACAACAGGAAATACGAACACTAATACACAATATTAACAGCTAAGATGATATACTGGATATACCTGGACCCTTCCCTACAATTACGGCCGTGCGTTTTATTGTATTAAATAAAAATAATATCTAAAAAATTACTCTATAATAACTTATGKATTAACTTTGTATTAAGTTTCCAAGCTTTTTAAATGAGAAAAAAGTATTTGGTAAAAATATCTACAGTTGATGTCAGACTTATAAAAAAAACACTCGTAGTTAATCCAATACATATATCGTTTCATGCAGAATCTTAAAATTGTTTCATTAAATTTGTAAAAAAATCTGTGAAAGTAACTCTTTAATTTTAAAAGTTTCATTTAATYTGATATTCATCAACTTCTAAAATAACTATATTATAAAAATTATGTGTAAATATTTTTAACAATCAGAAGTTGATACCTGCAAGTTAAGTACTTAATAATAAAATTATTATTTTGTTTCACAAAATATTTAACACAGATTATTCCACAAAATGATATGATTGTAATATTTTCCAAACCAGTTTAAAGTAATAAGATCGCATACTGTTAAATATGCGGTTATTTCAGAAATAACAATTCTGTGTCGTATTTTGTTGGTAAATTTCGAATACTTAACGAGATTACAGGTTTTGAATGCATACAATAATAATAACAATAAATAATAATAATAATAGACAACCGTTACCGTTCCTATTCATGTCGTTACTTTTTTTTCGACGCGATGGCAATGTGTTTATTTTAAAATCTACTTCCGATCACGATTTATGTTAACTTACTTATAACTTATAAAGAACCTATAATAAATAACCGTTAACGCAATAAAAAAAAAAATAGACGATCATCGCTTTCAAATCATCGAATATTCAACTCGAAACAGTTGTCTAATGTTTGAAGATAACAGACTGATATAAACATTATAATGATTGTATTTTGGGTTGTACACTATCTATTGAGCCTTAGCAGATACAATATAAAGATTAAAAAAGAAGTTTTATCATTTATTGTATTTTAGTTTATAAATCTAAATAATATACTATTATAAAACATTAATATCCTTTGCTAAACATTAGAAACCTAGTAATAAATACAAAAAAATAAAATAAACTAACAATAAGAAAAGTATGAATAATGCTATTCTGGATTTCAGATGTCGATTTGAACATACAATACCATAAAAGTTATAATCAAAAGAATTTTTGAAAATAGTCTTGTTGTTTGTTGTTGTCTTGATGTTTTTTTGTTCGGCACGGAACTGTGTTAAAATAATTTCTAAAAATAAATTTTTAATTTAAAAACTAATAAAATAAATAGTTTAAAAGACTTAACTATAGATTTATGGCTTTTCAAGACATTATAAATATTATTATTTTTTATATAAAAATGTGGTAAATATTTGGTTTTGTTCAGGATGTTTATTTATTAGATATTTTTTCCGGTCACCACAGTCCTCAAGACACGTGCCTGGCGTACATTTTTTCCCAAATTTTTTTTTTTTTTTTAGTATTTCTATTTGTACAACGTGGATATTGTGTTATATTTATTATTATGCAATGTAAAAAACGTGTGCGTGCTCGCGTATTTAGGTATATAATCACAACAAAAACATGCAAGCTGCTCTTCTTTCGATCACTCGCGCGCTGCTGTATCGTTGTGGATATTAAATATACATATATAGCCATACAGATATATGAACACTGCCTTCACAGGTATATGCGATGTAGGACACAATATGCGAAATAATATTATATCCATACAAATAATACGAGCGCTCAAGGAAACGTACACGGAAATCGCGTTTGGGAATRGGACACGGCAGTATTATTATTGTTCGTGGTATCGCGTTTATCAGCGACGTGATCTGCTGGGCAAACATGTCGTTAAAATAATCCTGAACTACGCTGCCATTGATTCACGACGCTTCTTTTGTCGACGTCCCGACAACAACGACGGAGCCGGCGGCCGCGGAGATCGATGCGAAATCGGAAACCGAGAACGAAAAACATCGTATTTAATATTATATGATATGTATTATATGTTATTGTCCATTGTCGTCAGAGTCGAGTGTGTTTGTACAAACATATCATTACCTGGCATTCAAGTCTCCGCCGCCGACGTACGACACGTACCACACGCTCCGCAGGTATTGTATAATATTATTATAAACCTCTATAACCTACCTATAGCATCTATGTATATATTATTATTGTAATACCCATCTCTCGCGTGTAATATATGCATTATTATTGTACGAGGAGATGGACTGTCAGTTTAACCATTTAGATGCCATCGAATTCGTTGACGTTAACTCTATATTATGGTATACTATACACATATTATACACATTTTATTATTGTATACATTATATATATTATTACTATGTGCAAGGAGTATTGTGCACACTGCTAAAATCGCAGTCTCAATCGTCTTCACGGTCCATTTGACATGGTGCACTTACAATAATAATAACATAATCCATCCGAGGAAGGAAGAGCTGCAACGCGAGTATATATTATAATAAATAATACGTCATTATTATTAAAGTGTTTTGGCGTGTTTCGGTTCCGTTTTTATTTTTCAGACCAGATGTGTATT